AGAAAAGGATGATCTAGATTACAATTGAAGATAATCAGTCATAACGTAAGGGCGTCTTTATATTTCGGTATGGGTCCTGAAAGACCTATATGGAGGATCATTAGCAACATAAAAACCTACCTACAGGTTTATTAATTAAAAACTGAACTACTCATCATTTACAATTCAAAATAAAAAGCGTGGCTGAATTAAACATTTAAAACTTTGATAAAACAATTTCATAAATTATTAAAATATTTCAATTCATATTATTTATTTATCGTCAAACCCCCTATATTTTATGTGAAATCAGTAAGCACTTCAGTTTTCCTTTATACACTATTCCATCCAGTGGCGGATCCAGAATAACTAAAATTAAAAAAAGATCTTTCTATTTGTTTCATTACTTTACATAAAGATAGGACTTTCCTGTAAATTACACAATTTAAATCAATTACGCTTCAAAGATATTAGAAATTTAAAACAATTATTTACCGACTCCGCATTTAAATAAAAGACAGTTTTAAGTCATTTTAACTGAGGAAACATGAGATTATTCAAGTTCAAAATCGAGTGAAAATTTTAATTTTAACGTAAATAACATATATCTTGTTTATCTACACTCAAGGCCATTCCAAGTTATTTCTCTGTTTAGCGTCCACCCATCTTTCAAAAACCTAACTATCGCAAAAAACACAAAAACCAAAAAAAAAAAAAAAGAAAAAGAAAAAAACACAGAATTTATAATCATAAAAATGAGGTCAATCAAAGGATTTGATTTTATTAGATCTATTCTATTTTTCTCATAGAAAGATTTAATCTGTAGAAAAATCTAGCATGACTTATTGTAGACAAATATTTAGAGAAATTGACAGAAATCGAAGATTTCAACCAGAATAATCAATTTCATGACTCCTGATTTTGTTTTGTTTTTTCTAGTATGAGGTGTCAAAAACCTAGGCGCACGCGGATGCTAAACATAGAAAAAACTGGGAATGGCCCAATCTCGTATTTTTATTTTTTTTTTTAACCCAGATACGCCATACATGTATATAGCTTTAAATACGTTATATTAACGTAATTTTTTGTTGTTGTTGTTGTTGATACTTTTCCTAAAATACAATTTAATACTATTTTAAATCTTCAAAACTAATTTTCTATGCTTACAAGTTTGAGATGAAGGGAGAAAAATCTAAACTGGAAAAAATTCCCAGTAATACGTTGACATATTGTAGTGGGCCCTAGTGGCGGAGTTAGGGTTCATTGGACGTTTTTTAAAATAGTTCTGAAAACAATGTTTAAGTTCATTACTACAGTGTAGCAAACAAGATACAAAAAATAATTCAGAGAGTAACCTGGCGTGTTTTTCGCTTATGATGACGGAGTTTTGGTAGTAGGGGATACATGTATATACATGTGTATAGCGAAAATATTGACTGGGTTTAAGGGCAACATGCGTTTTGTTGGACCCAAGAACCGATCTATTTGCCTGAGGCGGTTTGCCTGTATCTTATGCTGGCTTCCACGATGTAAATTTTCTTTACAATCGATTACAATATTGGTCAATTCCGGTTCTGTCGACAGGCCCGTAGCAACGTTTTTAAAAGTGGAAGTGGGTGTGCAACCGCCCCCTCCGAAAAATGTGACCAAAAAAAAAAAAAAAACACAAAAAAGTGTTGGGGGGGGGGCATCTTCTATAGGTAAATTTACTTTAGCAAAATACGTACAAAAAAGTGTCCCCTTCCCCTTTTGCGTTTGACGGACCTGTATATTTATGTGACTGAGATAATATCCCGTGCGAACGAGATAATTACCTCATGAGAACTACATAATATCTGAGATATTAAGTCGTGTGATCCAGATATTATGTCATATGAACGAGATAATACGGTGCGAACGACATGACATTTTTCCGATAAACAGCTAATATAAGAAGTAAAAAAAAATATTTGCATGCCCTAAATAATTACAGTTAAGCCCCCCCCTTTTTTTTAAAGACTGGTCCTGCGCTACCCTGGCCTGCCGATACTACGTGCCTGTGTTTTACCTATTTTATATATGCAAGAAGTTGATGTTAGATGATCCCCATACATTGAAGAAAAACTCAGATGTTGTTCTTACAAGCTTAGCCGGACGTGGGCATGGTACTAGTTTTTACTCGGATGTAGAAGCAAAATTCAGTCCATAGAAAATTCAGTGATGTCGGGTATCAGCAGTGCACGTTGAAAGTTTTGTTACGGTTTGATTGTCAGAGAGCATCGAAACGTTATGAATTTGGTATATATAATAAATTTCAGTAATTACATGCGTTTTCTTCATCGATCTCAAATATTTTGATGATAATAAATACATTTCTATCTTTTATCTGGTTTAATTAATTTTGATTGATAACAATGCATTGAACAGTTGAAAATTAAAGTAACTAGTTTCACTTCTGTTTATTTTGATGCTAATATTTGTAGGCCTATGTAGTTTGGTAATACATGTACATTGTAAAATGTTTATGTTTTTCTACTGTGAGATATAAAGATATCATATTCAAATTCAGGTATGTTTTCTTGGACTCTTTAAAAAATACTTTGAAATGCTTAACATTTCTTTGCGGCTGATTTGATGCTATAAACATGATAAATGGATCGTAATTCGTTTTTCATTTGAGCCTCGCATGAAATTCAAAATATACCACCCCTTTCCGATAAAAAAAGTAACAAAGCATAAAAAGGTATATCCAGGAAATTTACGTTAAGTAATGTAATAGCATCTAAATAAACTTGATGATTTATAATGATAATAATGTGCCAAAATTCATTAGTTTATAAAGTTGTAAGCTTCTTAGAATCGATGCATGTTGGTATATATATATATAGGTCCCTGCTGCAAGGTCCTTACTCGGGTATATTGGTGTGTGATGGAAAAATTATAACAGTATTCGAAATTTATAAACTGATTAAGGAGGTTCGATCCTGAGCCTTTGAGCAGATTTTGGTCTGGACCTTTATTTCTAAAATTCTGCATCATTTTTAAGTTCTAATATTAAATCTGGATTCTACAATGCAAATTAAACTATATCCAATGAAAAAACCGCGGTTAAATTCCATTCAAATAGGATTAAGCTAGGAACTATATTTTGTGGCGGAAGGTTTTTTTTAGAAGAAAATGATCAATTTTTCCCTTTTGAAGTATATACAGTACTGTTAAGTTTAAATTCCTGTTTTTCCATGCTGGTTGCACACAGAGCTGTTTTTTGCAGTGAAATGTTTTATTCTGGTTCTGAAATATCTATTAAGTTATTTCTCATGAATTCTTTCATTATATTGTGACAAATATAGTAAATATATTCTGAAAGTCCAGGAAAAAATTGAGCCAATTTTAACATAAAATTAACACTTTTTTAGTAATATCTAAAAATTTACATCATAGACCCCCACTTTTGTTTTTCTTTTCTGAATATATAATATAACTTTGATCAATCTGCTTAAATTCAGCAAAAGTTTAAGACTTTAAAATAATTTTTTTGCTTGTTAAATTTTTAATGCCAGAAAAATCACATTTTGTGAGTGCAGAAAGGTCAAATAATTGATTATGCGAAGAAATTTGCAACTTTTTCTTTGTCACAATTTCAATGTGTCTTTTTTTAAATAAACTAATAGTTTATTTTGTCCATGCTTTATTTGGATAAAAACATTGGAGGGAAAAACGTCGAAGAGGTGATTTTTGATTAAGACACAAATTTCAGTGCAAAAAGGTCATATTAAATGTACTGTAGCGCCAAAAGAAGCATATTGACTCCCATTTTTTGTTTTGATTTTTAATTAAGCTATGTGTGTAGAAACTAAAAATATACTTGACAAAAAAAGTTTAAGACTTTAAATATCAGGATCCAACCTCGTTAATACACCAGATTATGAAATAAAAACCAATGTCAGATTTATCGACATTCTTATGAACGATCATCTAGAGAACACATTATTCGATGACGTAGTACGCAACGCAAGAAGTACACAATCCCTTCACTCCGATTTTGCAGGTTTGTGCGTTGCATGTAAATATTCGATTTGTATAGGATGCATCATGCAACTTATTGGTGACAAATCACCCATGCATAAACCTTTGCAGACATATTTCCGATGAAATAACCCCTGAAATTTTGCACTTTCTTAACATATCCCAAAATAATCTTATATTACAGTTAACCGACCCATGAAATGAAACGGTTTAAGTAATTTATGCATGTTACTTCAAACTATTATCAATGCAATTGTAAATGTGATTTAGTCACAATTGAATGATCAGACGAGTGTAGGTACCAGCTCATCATGCACAAAAATTATTGGAACGAAACGGTAAGGTGAAGGCCATCCATATAGCCCAGTATTATAACCAAGACAGCTGGTAATTGACCAGCTTGAGAGTGAAATTTAAAACATTACCATGATGTAAAATCTGTTTTATTATGGTATTCTTAAACTTGTTAAAAAGAAAAAAATGATCCTTTTTTCTGAGGTCAAGGTCAAGTAACCATGGAATCCCATTTTGCATGAGGGCTGAGACTGTATAGTTATCTTGTGAAACAATTCCATGGCTGCAGTATGATAATGCTACAATTTAATTTTTACAATTATTTAGGCTTTAAATGAAAAATAAATGTATTTTTTTTATTTATAACATGCATAAAGAAAACATCACAATCTTTATTTTTATTTCATTGAAAATGGCTAAGTGTAGGTAAGTTATGCCTTGGATTAAGTGAACATACAATTTATAAAGCCCTTATATTTGATTATGTGAATTATATAATGCTTGATTCTGAACTGTCTGTTTTGATAAAGGCATTATACAACCTTGTATTATGATAATTAATGTCTCAGAAACCATCCAAGTCTTATTTAGCATGTCTGATATTCTTGAATTTAAAACAAACAAATATTTGTACAGGGTAAGATTCAAGATGTATCATGTAAATTCAATGAAGCATAGATAGTATGAAACTTGTATACCTCAGAGTAGTTTTTTTTTTTCAGGAAATCTAGATTAACAGGTTTTGTTTCTAATAACAAGTAACCTGTTTTCACCATGCCAGCCATCAAACTCAAGAAAAAAGCACAGGAATATCTTGAGGAAAAGAAAAGGGAAAAAGAGGCTCAAGAAGCAGCCACTTCAGCAAAAAGCCCTGCCTCCACTCCAGCCACCCCCACGCCAACTCCAAAGAAAAAGAAAGAAGCCCGGCCTCCGCAGACACCACCAGCTTATCTTAATGAAAATGATATTCTGTTTGAGAAACGCAAAAGGACAATTCCAATTGTGGAGCAAAAGTGTCAAGACTGGTAGAATAATATTTTGATATCATCAAATACACAAGGAGTGAAAAGTTTCATACTTGTAGATTTGTTTTTCTTAGATTGCATGAAGCTACACAAGATTTTTATTTAAGGAAAGCAAAGAATTCGTTCCGATTTCATTATTGTAAATCTGTAAAAGCAGAAATATTTGTTGGGGATTTAATTTGGTTGTGAACAATTAGCAATGAAATTAAATCCTACACGAAATTTTTATATGACTATATATTGAATAGGGTTACTTTCGAAACAATGAAATTTGATGCCCACGAAAACCTTTTTAGATGACAAATCAGCGAAATTTTATCCCCAAGAAAATTTGTGCTTCTACAGTATCCTTCATATATGTACGCTTATATGTAAAAACTGACAATATAAAAAGCCACAGAAAAAAATGCTCAAATTAGCATTTCAAGTTCTATGTTGAAATACTTATAAATGCACCATATTGATTTTAGGATTATGGACAATTTTGAGGTTAAAGATGATGTTCATGTGAGCACAAACAAGATGTATGAATACTACACAGAATCTGTCCTACAAGATTCAGGCAATGTTGCAGATGTAGGGTTATTCAACAGGGTAAGGTTTTGTACACATATGTTTAGCTCATTTTGATAAAAGTCTAAGAAAATGTAAAATATGTCGTTGGAAGCAACAACTGAGCCAGGTTAAAGCTAATAGAAGAAGTCCATTCTCAAATAACTATAATTTCTGCTGGTTGTGATTTGTCAACTTTCTGTATCTTGGGTTTGATGCCATTGAAGATGTATTTAATAGGAAATCCTGTTACCAGAGAGGAAGGCTGTGAATTTTTTTTTGGACTAGTGATTATTATTATCAGTTGTTTTTGTTTTTTTTTTTTAACTTTTGGTCCTTTAGCCCTAGATGTGCAAGTCAATTTTAAATTTCAAATAAATATTACTGAAAATAATCTGAGCCAAAAGACTCAAATAAGTTTTTCTGACCAAAGTTTGTCAGTTTGTTGTCTGTAAGTTTACGTCTTTTAACAGGATTTTTTTTTCACATTTTTCAATTCTTCTCCAGAACCACTAAGCCAATTTCAACATAACTTGGTATGAAGCATCCTTATTTGAAAGGAATTTAAGCTGGTTTAGAATGATGAACCAAAAAGAAATAGTGAAATTTGGATTAGGTCTTTTAAAAATATTTTTCTCAAAACCTACTGGACCAGAAAAGATAGAGCATTTAAATAAACTGCATTTTTTTCCCCAAATCATTATGCCCAGCGACAGAAAGGGGTCAAAGTTTTAATTTGCATATTACCGGTATAGAGACAAAAAAAATCTTTAAAAATCTTCTCCTCAAGAAGAGAAGGGTGACAATGATTCAATTTAACATATAAACATCATCTCAATGTAGGGGAGATTCAAGTTCAAATGATACCTACCCCCACCCTGGGCTAGGGAAGAGTCATGATGAAGGGATTCAGAGATTGACATATTGATAATAAATACATGCAGGTAAAAGAAATCTTGAAAAATCTATTTGTCCAGAAAAGAAGGATACAGTTATTTATATATTACTACACAAACATCCCTTTAAAGTGAAGAAAGATCCCCCCAAATAATGGCTCTCAGACCTAGAATGGGGCACAGTAGGGGGTTCTCAGACCTAAGATTGGGCACAATAGGGGGTTAAAATTGTGACATGGGAGTATATAGAGAAAATATTTAAAAATCTTCTTCCCAAGAACAGAAATGTTATAATAAGTTTTATTTACATGCAAGCATTTCCACAAAGTGTAGATTCAATTTTTTTTTTATATGATGGCCCCTTGGGCAAGGCTAGAACCATAGGGGGAGGGCAAATTTACATTGCAATATACAGGAAAAAAATCTTTTAAATCTTCTGATGAAGAACAGTTTGTTCTATTTTATACTGAATTACAATCATTCCCATGTAGATTCAATTTTGGTCAAGTCATTGTCCATAGAACAAGAGTGGGACTACATTAAGGGATCAAACTTTTACATAGAGACAAATAATGTATTCTCTAAACCTTTTGAAGAACAGCAGAGCACAATAAGTCAAACTGATATGCAGTCATCACCATGTAGAATAGAACTAAGTTTGTTAAGTTGTTTCTTGGACAAGGATTTGGGCTATATCAGCAGAGAAATGTTTTACATGAGAATAAATATGAAAAATCTCAAGAAAAGCTCATTTAAGGTGACTTAAACGAGGACAGTGACTCATGAGTCTCTTTTTACCGAGATAATCAGCTGTGATGCATGATTTTGCTTAATGTTTCTAACAATTGTTATGATCGACATAGATGTGGTTTTATAATCTTAATTTTAGAATTATTTGTCACATGTTAGACAACACTACATGTAAAAATGACGTAATTGGTGAAAATTTATAAAATTCATTTGTTATTTTAACAGTCAAACTCATGATTATCAGTTATGACAATATGTATTCAATATTCATATAAAGACACTTTGTTCTTTGATTTGGTGGGTTGAAGTCTCTGAGTCTAGATTTGATATACTGATTAATAACCTGATCTATTAAAATTGTTAAACAAATTTATTGTTAAACAATGTGTAAAGATTAAGTTTTTATAACCTCAAGGAAAAAAATAAAAAATATTGTGAAGAAAATTCATCAAGTTTTTGATAACCATGTAGTTTCTATATAGATATGTCAAATTTGAAATGTTCTTTTATTTACATAAACATTCAGTATTAAATTTAAAGTTGTATATTTTTCAGTTAGTTCGGGAGAAACTAGGAAAATGCTTTGGGGTAAAAATGATGTCCCCACTGCATGGAATCATCAAAGAAACCCAACCCCGAGAGAAGAAGGTACAAGGAGAAACCCTTAGTCTTAAAATGAAGGACATTCTGAATGAGATCATTACTGGGGTTGGAAATCCTGTATCCTTTTATCCCAAGGCTGTAAGGTTAAGATACTCTGTGTAAATGACCAGGTGTGATTAAAGGTATTCGATGGAAGAACTTTGCACCTCAAAGTCACTATTAGAAAATAGATACTTGGTTTAAATGACCCTATGACAACAAGGTAATACTGTAGACGGAAACAGGTCTCTTTCAAAATGGTTTTCTATCTATTAAAAGTACAGGTGTCTTGAGATACTTCATGGGACCGTGGAAAAACTTCAACAGTTCAAAGTTTCTAGAGTTGGGAAATTTCAGGTTACGGTACTTGGTTGGTTTTAAAGGTAGTCTAACCTGAAGTAATTTATGATCATTCACAACAGTTTTAGAGTTTAACAGCAGTATTCATCTTGTGTACACATACCGGTAATTAGTTTGAGGTATCGAGAGTAGATTACAATAGAATATGCATTACAGGACTGAATTTTGACTTGGGAGAGATCAATGGTTTTGATAGTTTGAGAAATCAAGAGTAAAATTGCTGAGTTGTATAGGAGAAAAAAATCAGGATGGAGACTCACTTGGATAGATCAAGAACTTCAAGAGATCGAAGTTTGAGCCATCAAGAGTCACCTGTATTTGGTATTTGAAATGATGTTTTTTTTTTCTTTTATAAACAAATTATTTCTATTAAGGTCCTTAACACAATGAAGAACAAAGGTGTGAGATTCTTCAGTCTGAAGCAAATGATAGGATCTAAATATCCAGCTTTACAGGTAGAGTCGTATCCCAACAAACTGCTGAATGCCCTGGACAGAGGAGTCAGATATGGCAACATCATTCTGGTAAACTCATTTATCACCAGATTTGAATTTCAGAGAGCCACTATCAGAATATTCCCAAATATTTTTTTTTCATTGTATAAAGAAATGAGTGTTGCTGGGAAAGAGTATTGCTTGAGGTTAAACAGTAATGGGTTTATGCTCTCTGATTAAACAGTGATGGGTTTTTTCTCTCTGTCCTTTCAAGTCATACTTGACCTATTGCTCATAGTCTTGACCCTGTATCTTTTGGATAAGATCCAAGGTCACTACAAGAAAAATGTATAATTCCTGTCTGGACAACATATTTGTAGTGGGGAACTGTTAGAAGGTCATATTGACAAAGAGATTGCTTATTCATTTATTATTGAGCTAATTTCTAAATAAAAAGAAAACCTTTCAATAAATCAACTAGCATTTAAAGAAGTTATTGTCTACAGGTATTATATAATGAGTTAAAAGTATGTTTAAATCTTGAGTTTATATTATAACCTTGACCCAAAGTGACTTTGGCAAGTTCAAGGTCACAGCAAAATGACAAGTACATGTTTAGGCCATAACTTTATAAAAGAGAAACATGGGAAGTTTATACTTGATATAATGATAGTTTATGACCTGAAGGTATGCTATGATCTTGATTCTTGACCCAGTGTCATTTTGGCAAGCTTAGGGCTATTGATAAAAATATATAAAAGTTTCTGTCTTGTTCTTAATAAAGAAAAAAAAAACCCAGAAAGTTCATCCTTGAAATGAAGATGACAAATTGATGTGTGAACATTATAGGATCTTGTGACTCCAGGTCAGTTTAAACCCCTTCAAGCCTTCAAGTAGGTTCCAACTTTTTCCACAAACAAATTTTATTAATTATCATGATGGGACAATTTGAATATACTGAAACAAAAAGGGGGTGGGAATGGCCTCTCAATGAACATTTTGAAGTAAAAGGTTATGTTTGGAAAAAAGTGGTATGGTCAGCCCCCCCCCCCCCCCCCCCCATACTACATACCTGTCTTGTGTAGCCATTGCCCTCTGAAAACTGCTAAAACAAAAGAAATAGGTAGGATTTAAAATAGCTGATCACTGTAATCAATCTCCTGAAAGAAATAGTCACTGAGAGTGTTTGGAATGTATTCATCATTTCTTATTCCAATAGTAATAAGTACCGGTAGTATTAATGAAAATCTTCACATGTTGCATGAATGGTATGTTTTTCAGGTAAAAGGATCTGGAAAGTGTGGATTTTATAGAGTCCCAGGTGAAAGCACAGCAGAAGAGGATAAACCAAAACCAAAAATAAAGAAAAACGTAAATGTTTATGTTTGTTTACATAATTTGTGCCTATGCAGTCTTTTTTATCCTGCCTCTGATAAAAATCTTGAAATTTCATTGGTTGAGAAGAATACTGTATTAAACCATATTATGCCGACTACCGACATTATATTGTTAATTTGCCTCCTCCATGTGACCTACCCACCACACATCAAATCAATATGCAGCCTCCCCCCCGTGCCATACTGCCCAGATCATAATTTCATTTGAACATGCAAGGACCCTAATAACTGATGTCACATAAGCATTAAACAATGTCACGATGTAAATTAACAATTGTTATGGAACGGTTTGCTTAACTCAGAGAAAATGAACTTTATTAAAAAATCTTTGACAGGATAAACTTGTTATGTAGACACTTAGAGGGGTAATACAGAAATGTATGGGGTCCTTGAAAAAAATGCATATTGGGCGAGGCAAGGACCCCATATATTTCCGTATTGCCCCTCTCAGTGTCTACATAGCTAATAATGTATTGCTGAAACAAGATCACATGTGCAACAATGTTAAAAGGTTAAATCTTTTTGTATACTTTTAAACATCGTTGCAAGCCACAGGTTTTGTGTCCATTCTATTTCCACAAACCTGAGGCTGTTTACTACAGGATTCTGTCATCCTCATGAATATTTATAACACACATTCAACCAATGGAATAATTATCTAATGCTTCAAAACAGAAACCTTTTGTTAAATGAAAATGGGTGGTCTATCTTATAGCTGGATGTAACCATAACTACAAGTGTGTATCAACTTTGGTTCATATTTCCTCGTTTTAATGAGTGACGCTTTTCAGCACATTTAGACAACATATGCTTTGAAACCATCTTTTAATGTTAAGCTTTGGAAGTATTTAGGAATATTATTTTACTGGCCTCTTTTCTTCAGGATCTATGGTATTTTTATCAATAAAAAGCATAGCAAACATAATTTCATTATGGACACCACCATGTTAATGTACCTAAATTGCCACAGAGTGATTTCATTGGTCAAGATAAATCTGGAATCACTTCATAAGTATCCAGTGATTCATTCATGAGAATGAGAGAATGTAAAAAACAGCTACAGGTTTGTGGAAATAGAATGGACACAAAACCTGTGGCTTGTGACGCTGACTTTTAAATGCTACTTGTAAGTGAATTTGCAAAGTTTTAATTTTAATACTTTAAGAAAGGTGAAGTTGAAGATGACAAGAAAGAAAATGGAGATACTAATGAGAGTAGTGAGGCCACAGGAGGGGGAGATAAAGAAACATCAAAAAAGAAGGGGAGAAAGAGGAAGTCGGAGGAAGCTGGGGAGAGTTCCGAAGAAAAAGGAGAAAAAAGTATGACTGAAGAAAAGGAGGGGGAAGATGCTATAACACCTAAAAAGAAAGGGAGACAGAGGAAATCTGAAGGAGCAGGAGAGAGTTCTACTGAAGGAGGAGAAGACAGTCCAAAGGCAGAAGGGGAAGAAGATGACAAGGCAGCCAAAAAGAAAAAGAAGAAAAGGGGTATGTCTTGTTGTAGCAGCGAGTTTAATCAACACTAAGATAAAATGTACAGTGTGTCATCAATACTTTCATTTGTAAATATGCTTCTGACTATGAAGTTGATGTAGTTGGTTTGATTGACAGGCAAACCTGCACCCAGGAACAATTACAGAGGTGAGGCAGCTAAACATGGAGATCCTTCCCGAATTGAGGACATTTTCCCCATGGCTTTGACTTACATGAGTGACCCCAAAGAGACATCTTTGAAGAAGATCATCAAGTATATAGACAAATTCTACCCAGAAGTGAACACAGATGTCAGGTTTGTACAAATATGTACAATAGTTGTTATAGTCTGATCAGCTGGAACATTTATACATTATGGTTTATATAACATTAATTTTTATCAGAACTGCATGCTATCACTGTCATATTTGACTGTTTGTGTCATGTTCTGATTGTCAAAGGATGTACATTTATAGTATTTATGTTTAAGAAAATTATGTGTACATATATACTCTGGAATCATCAAAATTCGTGGGGGGAGGGGGGGGGCAATTTTTGTCGATTGATTAAATTTTACAGGTTCGTGGGGATGTAATTCCGTATGTTCACTCATATCTACAAAAGGAAATATGACTTTGAAACCCTTGCATATTAATTCGTGGAGAATGTTATTTTATGGATGAAGGGTACCCACAAATTCCATAAATATTGAGCCACCATGAAATCCAATGATTCCACAGTATTACAATTTAGTCAAATCAGAAAGTTACTAAATGAAACAATATTACATATACATATGTATGATTTACAGCTTAAAAAAGGCATTGGATAAAGGTGAATCGAAGGAAATGTGGCAGCATTTAAGTGGGAACTCCTACCGTCTCTTGCTGGAAGAATTCAATCCTGGATACTGTGAGTAATTAACAAGAGTCCTGTTTGTATTAATTTTATCTTTGTTAATTATCTGCAGAGATGTGGTATATATGCTCCTATTTTAGAGGATATTAAGAAATAAAGTCCGCGTTATCGTGAATGTTGCAGGATAACCTCCGAGGTCGAGAAATGTTGTCTGAAATGTAAGAGCCGAGGCATTAGCCGAGCCTTTTATATTTCAGACAACATTTCGAGACCGAGGAGGTTATCCTGCATCATTCACGACAACAAGGACTTTATTTCTATTCTACTAACAGCACTAAAATACGGCTGACTGTTTCCTCTATAGAGAAATGAATTAGGTCACCATGTCATGATTTCGCTGTTCCATTTAACACCAGAGTCAATTTGTTGGTTTACTTGTGTATCGATTGCACAAAATGCAGACGCTTTCGTTGGATTAAGAATATCCTTTAATTATCTATAAATTTGTTTGTAACATATATTGATTAATTTTTATGAATGTAAAATAACAAAATCAGTTGCCTTTTTCATTGCTTTATCTGTAAAATCAGGGAGTGTAAATGTTGTGGGGAGGTCCGTGGAGCAGCCCCACTTGGTTATAAAAAGGATATTTATCAGCTGTTTCAGGCAATACACAGTATTTAGACTGAGGAAGGCGACACATCGATATGGTCTAAATAAGTATTATATTCTACAGTGAAATATTTATTTCAACTGTACAGGTTTGACATGTGTTTCTGATCTGATAATTTTTTGATGACGTTCGTGATTTATTGGAGAATAATGTCAGTGGCATTTCTTTGATCTCGGCAATAAGTGTGGTAGAATATCTGATGTATGTGTATCTTGCTAACCAATATTGGCCATCCATTGTATGCCCTGTGTGTCAGAAACATCAATGGTAATACGTACATGCATTTGTAGTTCTGTTAAAAGGGTTCTAATGTCCTGTAATTTAATGAAAAAAAATAGAAGGTGTGGTTACTAGATCATATAGATACGTATTATTAGCTTACCTGAGCTGAAAGCTCAAGTGAGCTTTTCTGATCACATTTTGTCTGTAGTCCGTCTGTCTGTAAACTTTTCACATTTTCGACTTCTTCTCCAGAACCACTGGGCCAATTTCAATCAAACTTGCCACAAAGCATCCTTGGATGAAGGGGATTCAAGTTTGTTCAAATGAAGGGCCACATCCTCTTTCAAGGGGAGATAATAAAGAATTAGTGACAAATTAATAGCATCTTTTAAAAATCTTCTTCTCAAGAACCACAGGGCCAGGAAAGATGAAATTCATGTGGAAGCATCCTCAGATAGTGTAGATTCAAGTTTGTTCAAATCATGACCCCAGGGGTAAGGCGGGGCCACAATGGAGGATCAAAGTTTTATGTAGAAATGTATAGGAAAAATCTTTAAAAATCTTCTTCTCAAGAACAACAAAGCCATGATGAGTTATATTTATATGGAAGCATCCTCAGGTAGTGTAGATTCAAGTTTGTTCAAATGATGACCCCTGGGATAGGGAGGAGCCACAATGGGGGATCAAATTTTTACAAAGGAATATATGGGGAAAATTTTTAGGTCACCTGAGTCACTCAGGTGACCTATTGCTATCCGTTTTTGTCCGTCGTCGTCCGTCGTGTGTCGTGCGTTAACTTTTGAACATTTTCAACTTCTTCTCTAGAACCGCTCAACCAATTTCAACCAATTTTGGCATATAGCATCTTTGGGTGAAGGGGAACAAAAATTGTGAATTTCCTGGTCCCTGCCACCCTGGGGCCCCAGGGGTGGAGCTAAAACCACCAAAATTGATGCAATCTTTAAAAATCTTCTTCTTTACTCCTGGACATCAAGCAGTCAAACTGTTGGCATGACTGTAATAAGCATTGGGCCCTCTACCTAAATTGTGAAATTCATGGCCCCAGGGTCAGGGGTTCTGGTGCTAGGGCGGGGCTCTATTGATTATATAGTGAAAATGCATTATTTCTTTGAAAATCTTCTTCTCTGCTCCTGGGTATTATTTAAACAAACTAAGTGCATGGTTATGACAAGCAGTGATGCCTTTTCCAAAATTGTGAAATTCATGGCCCCTGGGTCAGGGTTTCTGGTGTTAGTGCGGGACTATATTGATGATATAGTGAAAATGCATTATTTCTTTGAAAATCTTCTTCTCTGCTCCTGTGTATCATTTAAACAAATAAGTGCAGGGTTATGACAAGCAATGATGCCTCTTCCAAAATTGTGAAATTCATGGCCCCTGGGTCAGGGGTTCTGGTGTTATGGTGGGGCTCTATTGATTGTATAGTGAAAATGCATGATTTCCTTGAAAATCTTCTTCTCTGCTCCTAGATATTATTTAAACAAATTAAGTGCATGATTATGACAAGCAATGATGCCTCTTCCAAAATTGTGAAATTCATGGCCCCTGGGTCAGGGGTTTTGGTGTTAGGGCGGGGCTCTTTGATTATATAGTGAAAATGCATGAATTCTTTGAAAATCTTCTTCTCTGCTCCTGGATATCATTTAAACAAACTAAGTGCATGATTATGACAAGCAAAGATGCCTTTTCCAAAATTGTGAAATTCATGGCCCCTGGATCAGGGTTTCTGGTGTTAGGGCGGGGCTCTATTGATTGTATAGTGAAAATGCATTAATTCATTGAAAATCTTCTTCTCTGCTCCTGGGTATTATTTAAACAAATTAAGTGCATGGTAATGGTGCACAAGGATGCTTTTTCCAAAATTATGAAATTCATGGCCCCTGGGTCAGGGTTTCTGGTGTTAGGGCGGGGCTCTATTGATGATATAGTGAAAATGCACTAATTCTTTGAAAATCTTCTTCTCTGCTCCTGGGTATTATTCAAACAAACTAAGTGCATGGTTATGATGCACAAGGATGTTTTTTCCAAAATTGTGAAATTCATGGCCCCAAGGTTGGGGGGAGGGGGCTCTATTGATTATGTAGTGAAAAAGCATTAATTCTTTGAAAATCTTCTTTTCTGCTCCTGGTTATAAAATAAACTAAGTGTGTAGTTATGATGAACAAGAGTGCTTCTTCATGAATCATAGCCTCTAAGTCAGATGTTCTCGTGTAAGGATGGGTCTCTATTGATAATATAGTGAAAATGCATTAATTCTGTTAAATAATTCTGTCTGCTCCTTAGTGTTGAGCAGACAAATAAAGTGCATAGTTATGATGAACAATTGTGCTTCTTACAAAATTTTAAATTTTGTGCTCTTTAGGTTTTAGTGTTTCTCGTTGGGGGGGGGGGGGGGGGGGGGGCTATATTTCTTAATAAAATGAAAATGTGTTAATTCTTTGAAAATCTTCAACTAAGTGCATAGTTATGATGATGAGGGTACCTCTACCAAATTTATGAATTTTATGACTCTGGGACATGGGTTTTAGTGTTAGGGTAGGGGTGTGATAAATCTGTAGTGAAAATGCATTATTTCTTTGAAAATCTTCTCTGTTCCTTGGCATATTGAAGGCAAACAGAATTAAAGTTTTAATAAGCAAGGATATTTTTATCAGATTTTTGAACATCAGGACCATTTGGTCATGTATTCTGGTCCTAGTCAGGGCTCTATTAATTTGTATTCAACTGAGAGAAATTATTCCCCTTTGCCATTTACTTTTGATAATTAATAACTGTAAATAATATATTTGAAAGTTAATAGAATAAGAGAATTATGCAAAAAAAATTATTGAATAATACAAAAAATACTTGCATAGTTTTAATGATCAGATAGACTTGTAAATAATAAATAGAAAAAAATGAGACAAAAATAACTTATTAAATGTTCTTCAAAGACCAAGAGAGGCCAATGTGACAGGTCGCAATGTGGGGTTAAAGTGCTAAATGGGGGATAAATTAGAATTTAATGTTTGAGTTGTTACTGAGTACTAGACTAATTATTTCATTGATTCTGATCATCCTATTTCTCTTGCTTTTGGACAACAAAGCTTCATCTATCAGTTTATTTTATACTCTATGGATCCTCTAAATTGTTGTATTATACTCAGGTGACCGTTAAGGCCCTTGGGCCTCTTGTTTAAAATCTTCTCAAGTACAACAAAGCCATTTGTTATATTGACATGGAAGCATCCTCAGGTAGTTTAAAATTCAAGCCTCCCTCCCTCCCCCGGTAATCTTTTCAATACTGAACTGATTTGTGCTTTTGCCTAGCCAATGTGCTCAGGTGAGCGATGTGGCCCATGAGCCTCTTGTTATTATTTTAGTGCTATGAAATTGATACAGGGTACTTTTGTTTTATTTCACAGCAAATGATATTGAAGACATGATAAGTCAAGCAATCATTGCTTCTCATGAACCTAAAACTGCATCAGGACTAATGATAAAAAAGTACATTCTACAGTATCACCAGAACTTTAAAATTGATGAAAGACCACATTTGTTCAAAAAAGCTCTGGAGCGGGCAATATCCAAGAATATTATCAGGCAAGTATATTTATAATATTTCTTGTCTCAGTATTTTACATTGACGTAATAAAGCTATAATCTAGTTCATACATTAAAACATTTGCATAAATGTCTCCTGAATTGAATGAAAAAAATTCATATGTTATAAGATTTTCATGTGAATATACAGGTTGAAAAATGTGGTTAGCATTTAAAAATTAATCAGAGTTTGGAAAACTTTAACACATGTTTGTCCACTTGTTTACAGGCAGGTGTCTGGTCTTGGGAGTGGTGGGTCATTCCAACTTGTCCAGTCCTTTGTGCCTTCACCAGCAATCCTAGCAGGAGAGCTAGAGGACGAAGCCGAATATCTGAGTAGCGCCCCCGTGGATGATGGGCCGGAGGAGATTTACATTGTCCGCAAGACAAAATCTGGGCGAGGGCAGGGAAAGGCAACAAAGGATCGTAAACCTCCTGCCAATAGAAAGTAATGCAAAACACGTTCATCTAGAGGCTGTTGTAATGAAAGTTGTCATCCCTGTACCATATTGATCATGTGACCATAGATATTTACATTTCATACATGTAGTTATAAGAAACATTTTTGTTGTTATGATTGTCAGGAGAGTAACAATTGTCATCTCAATTATTTTGCTTTTATTGTCATAAATTTAATATGTTGTCTATAGCATGTCATTATATTGATAAGATTGCCAAAGTACTTGAAGATATAATTTGACAATTATTTCAAAAAGACAAGTGCAGATTTTATGAATCACTGGATCATGATTCACTGAGGAATGAAGCATGAATGCTTTATATACAGTTTAAATTTATAATCTGCAAATCAGCATTTAGAATTTAAATATTTGTTTTATACTTGTATTTTATTATGAAAAATGACACAGATTTTTACAAAAGTTTCCCAGTTGAACAGAATTGTGTAGAAACTTGTATGGAAATTGTGTATGAAGTTGTGTCTCTTTAAAAGCTCCAGGAAGTTCATTTTTACAGGAAAGGAAACTGTGCAATAAATGTAATGTATTAACAGTATGCCAATGTTTGTGTTCCATAAGAAACTTGATATGTAGAAGCAGTTGCTATTGATCTGACATATTTCATACTTGGTCTGTAAATTCCAGAAACTAAATCAGGCATGTATAGATTATCTCACTGTTGTGGACCTCTACATTTGAATCTTGTTTATTTGGAAGAAGTCATAATCAATAATCCTTGATTCATTATAAAAGAAATACATAAAAGGCAGCATGTACGATTATGTATACAGTACTTTTACTTGCATGTAGTAAGCTCACCAATCTGGGATGTTTTGTATGCATTCATGTAATGTGTCATTATTTTTCTTACTCTGGATAAGAAGTTAGATTTTGGAAACATTTTCAACTTAAGTTTAGAAATAGTAATGAATATGCAGGCTATATTTAGGTAGTTTTTTGATAAAGTATTAATTGTTTTTTGGCCAAAATGTTTTGAAAACATGTTATTGACATTGTTTGAATATTAAGTTTCTTTTTTGATTTCTTTAATACATGACAGGTTTGTCATATACATGTTTTTTTAAGTCCATACCCATCTATAGATGTACATATTTTGCTACACAGAGAAATATATGTACTATAATTGGTTTTGAGTAATGATTTTGTATTGGTAGATGTAGTATGAACATTGAAGAATCATTTTGTACTTGTTCGATTACATACTTGTTGCTTCTTTTTTGTGCATATAAATGTTGTTATTCCATCATAAAATCATGGTAAAGTAAACATATTACATGTATTTACAGTGTATGTGTAAATGCCTTGTAGGAAGATTAAAGAAAATATAGATTGCACAAGCTTATTTTATCTTGGAGTGTACCCTGATCTGGATACATGTATTTTACAATGCGAGGATATTTAAAAAAAAAAATCATGGGAAGGTGAAATCAAACTTTTGCAGCACATATAAAATACTCTTTATATCTTTCAACATGTTGCTTTTTCAATAATAAATATATCCATGTGTGTCAACACTTGAAATCTAGATATAAATTAAGGAATGGGAGGTTGAAATTGGAGAGAAATCCCAAATTGTGGCTTTCTAGATGCTGAAAGCTCTTACAATAACATTCTGTAGTTGGAAATGAGCTAAACAATGATAACATAAGAAAGATCAAGGTAATAGTCTTACTGGTTTGTCTATTGTATAGTAATTAAAGGAATCCATCAGTATGCATGAAATGGAGTTGAAAACCAGCTCAGATGAAGGGAGGTCAATGTCAAACAAGCTAATTCAGGGAATTTTTGTCCCCTTCTTTAGGGAAAAAAGGGTGGAAGACTTGATAAAAATATGCAGATGTGAAAAAGAAACAAGAGGCCCAAGGGCCTAGAATCGCTCTTCTGAAAATTGAACAACCTATAATCTCATCTGTTTTGAGCCTCTTGGTTACCTATATATAAGGATAAAGCCTTGAAATTCCAAAAGTAGGTCAGCCTGGCAACAACTAACAAAGTTTGATAATTCCAAGCCAATTAGTATCTGAAATATTTAAATTTAGCCATGAAGTTGCAAAAGTAGGTCACAGTGACCAACTTTTTGGTTGATACACTCCAAGGACTTGAGATGCATCAACTGACAAAATTTGATGATTCTAAGCCAATTAGTATCTGAAATAGCTATCAAATTCCTGTAGTAGGTCTCAGTGACCTAATTTTTGGTTGACACACTCCTGGTACCTAAGATGCATCAACTGACAAAGTTTGATAATTCCAAGCCAATGAGTATCTGAAATACTCAAATTAGCCATGATATTGCAAAAGTAGATCACAGTGACCAACGTTTTGGTTGATACACTCTGAAGACTAAATATGCATCAACTGAAAAAGTTTGATGATTTTAAGTCAATAAGTATCTGAAAAAGCCATCAAATTCCAAAAATAGGTTACAATGACCTACTTTTTGGTTGACACACTTTGAGGACCCAAAATGCATCAACTGACAAAGTTTGATGATTCTAAGCCAATTTGTAACTGAAAAAGCCATCAAATTCCAAAGTAGGTCACTGTGACCTACTTTTGGTTGACACTCTTTGGGTACCCAAGATGCATCAACTGACAAAGTTTGATAATTCCAAGCCAATTAGTATCTGAATTATTCCAGTTAAGCAATGGAATTGCAACAGTAGGTCAGAGTGACCTACGTTTTAGCCGATACACTCCAAAAACTCAAGATGCATCAACTGACAAAGTTTCATGATTCTAAGCAAATTTGTAACTGATAAAGCCATCAATTTCCAAAAGTAGGTCACGGTGACCTACTTTTTGGTTGAAACACTTTGAGGACACAAATTGCATCAAATGACAATGTTTGATGATTCTAAACCAAAAGCCATCAAATTCCAAAAGTAGGTCACCATGACCTACATTTTGATTGACACACTCCGGGTACCCAAGATGCACCCAAGATGCATCAACTGACAAAGTTTGATAATTACAAGCCAATTAATATCTGAAACATTCAAATTAGCCATGAAACTGCAAAAGTAAGTCACTGTGACCTACATTTTGGTTGATACACTCCAAGGACTCAAGATGCATCAACTGACAAAGTTTGATGATTCTAAGCCAGTTTGTATCTGAAATATTTAAATTAAGCAATGAAATTGCAAAATAGGACAAGGTGACCTACTTTTGGTTTACACACTCCAAGAACTTAAGATACATCAACTGACTAAGTTTGATGATCCTATGCTTCAAAGTGTCCAAAATATGCCTCTAAAACAATTTGAAAATGAATACCAAATTCCAAAAGTAGGTCACTGTGACCTACTTTTTGATGAGTCTGTTTAAAGGCCCGTAAATGCATCAACTTACAAGGTTTGATGATTCTAAACCTCTTAGTATCTGAAATAATGACCTTTAATGTTAAGAGAATGATGAGCCATAAAATTAGGTCATGGTCACCTACTTTTTGATTGAAACATTTTAAGGTCCCATGATTGCATAAACTGACAAGTTTTGATGATCATAGGATTCAAAGTATTCAAATTATGCACCGAAATGAAAATGAATACCTGTAAAATTCAAAAAGTAGGTCACCCTGACATACTTTTGAGTCATCATGATATGAGGTCCGAAGATGCATCAACCGACAAGATTTGATGATTCTAGCTGCCCTTATAGTGGGCAAAATGTCAAAGATTAAACAAAACGTAAATTTTGGTCAACTTTGAAGTGACCTTGAGACCACACCCCTTGCCATAGGGTAATGCCTTGAAGAATTTTAAATCTACAACATATCCTCATCCTTGTATGTAAGTTTAGTGATAATCTGCCCAGTGGTTCTTAAGAAGAAGATTTTTTAGCAACCACTACTTTTTTTTAATGTCCCTAATTATCTCCCCTTGTTTAAGGGACACATCCCTAGTTTTAGTACAAATGAAAGCCCTTTGGCCAAGGATACTCTGTGACCAATTTGAAATAAATTGACTAAGGGGTTCTTGAGATATGGCCCATTTTACAAAAAGTTGACACACACTGCCCAAATGGCCATAGCATTAGCTCTTTGAGCCTTTGGTCCAGAAGAGCTAAAAAGATGGAACTTGACTTTTCAGCTTTGTTCTTAAAGTCAAACTTTCAGGCAATATATAAATTTTTGACCTTGGTCTCTAACCTTTTGACTTCTAAATCAAAAGGAGTCTTTTTTAGAGTCATTTTATTCCATTGAAAAAGCTGAAAAAGAACTTAAGTTATCATCTGGAAACCATTTGCAATATATGAATTTCTGACCTTCAGTATCTCAAACATGGATATCTCGAATATTATGGATATGTTGAAGTGATTGGGAAGTCCTGACCACATATTTCTTAAAGTATTTTACCCTCGATATCTCTAACCCTCGGATATCTCAAATTTTTTTTCGGTCCCATCGAGTTCAAGATAACGAGGTTTGACTATATGTATTTCTGCCTTTGACTCAAATCAATAGGGGTCTTTTGGCCATGGGGAGTTGTGATATAGAAAAAATCCAAAAATGTCCAATTTCAATATGACTTGGTATACAAGTAGCCTTTACTAAGATACTTTATTCTGAACATCGTTTTTTTGATTTCGACAATGGTGTTGCAATAATTGCTAAATATAGAAGTTTGATTGAACTTCTGGTCCAATTTCAATAGGACTTGGTACACATGTAGACTTTTTTTGATTTTGACAAACAGTGTTGCCATGATTGCTATAAATAGAAATTTCTTAGAAATTCTTTTAAAACACTACTCCTCCTACAGTTTTTGTATGATTTTACTAAGACTTTGTACCCAGTAGAGTACACTAAGATACATAATTATATGTATCAGTTTTTGATTTGACAAACAGTGTTGCCATGGTTACTGAAAATAGGAATTTCTTTGAAATTCTTTCAAAACGCTATTCTACCTAGTGTTGATTATGATGGTGTTGCCATGGTTACTTAAAAATAAAAAAAAATCTGTGTAATTTAAAAAAAACTCTATCCTGACTAGTTCAGTCCAATTTCAATGACTTGGTATCACAAGTAGACCATATCTAAATAATTCTACATTTTGACAAACCATGCTGTCATTGTTACTTAAAACAGAAATTTCTGTGATATTACTCTTCCTAGTTATAGTCTGACTTCAATTACAATTGATACACAAGTAGAATACTATAAAGATACAGCTTTCTTTATTATAGGTACACACAAGTTCAACTAGTCTTGTCTGAGACTTCTGGTTTTATTTTAACTCAAAAAGTAAATACAAAACCAGTTTTTATTTTTTTCACCTCATGAGTGGAACATTTATACTTCTTATACAGAAGAGAGTCAGCTGATTTCCACTATGAACAAATACCTGCTTCAAGCTAACACTTTCATAACCAAGCATTTTTTGAATTAAAAATAATTATGCTAAAATTAACCTTTACAATTTTTCTAGAGAAAACCCATGTTTTCTGCCATTTAACATTGCTAGCATATTATAATTTGAGAATAATATAAATGTACTTTCAATTGGGGAAATCAACATTTCACGTGTACATCCATTTGCTATTTCAGTATGTGCATATTTAAGGGAAAAACATAAACATTACCGGTTTGTTGTTTGACACTGTGTGAACAAACATCTCTCATTTAAAATTCACACAGAACTTAAAACATAGGTAATCAAAGATTACGAAGCTCACCTCGACGAATGTTATCTACATGTAAGGCAAATTTCACATCATATTTTTTTTCTAGTTAGGGTACATCCCAAGATCAATATCCATGCAAGTTTGATTTAATTATAGACCTGCTCAAAAAACTTTTGACCTGTTTAGTAATCAAGAAAATTTTGGTCAGTTCCAACATCCAAAGCAAGTCTGGAAGTTTTCATCCTTAGATGCACCATCTATGCAAGTTTAATCATAACAGGCCATAATATTATATAGCTACTCCAAAAAAATTACCCTGGTCACTCTTCTGGAAAATGTACATCAGATTCAGAATCCAAGGCAAGTCTGGAAGTGTCCATCCCTAGATACATCATCCATGCTAATTTGGTTAAAATATGGCTAAAATTCACTCATGTGGAAAATCTAGGTCAGATCCAGCATTCGAAGCAGGTTGGTTAGTGTACATCCCTAGATGCATCATCCATGAAAGTTTGGTCCAGGTAGGGCTTATAGTTACTTGGGAATGAGACTACTCCTAAATCTAAACCTGGTCTCACATGTGGAAAATCTAGATCAGATCCAGCATCTGAACAAGTGTGGTAGTGTCCATCCCTGGATGCATCATCCATGCAAGTTTGGTCCGGGTAGGGTTTATAGTAACTTGGGAATGGACCTGCTCCTAAAACTTTAACCTGGTCACTCATCTGAAAAATCTACGTCAGATCCAGCATCCGAAGCAAGTTTGGTAGTGTCCATCCCTAGATGCATCATCCATGCAAGTTTGGTCAAGGTAGGGCTTATAGTTACTTGGGAATGGACCTGCTCCTAAAACTTTAACCTGGTCACTCATCTGGAAAATCTAGGTCAGATCCAGCATCCGAAGTAAGTGTGGCCATGTCCATCCCTAGATGCATCATCCATGCAAGTTTGGTCAAGGTAGGGCTTATAGTTACTTGGGAATGGACCTGCTCCTAAAACTTTAACCTGGTCACTCATCTGGAAAATATAGGTCAGATCCAGCATCCGAAGCAAGTTTGGTAGTGTCCATCCCTAGATGCATCATCCATGAAAGTTTGGTCAAGGTAGGGCTTATAGATACTTGGGAATCGACCTGCTCCTAAAACTTTCACCTGGTCACTCATCCGGAAAATCTAGGTCAGATCCAGCATCCGAAGTAAGTGTGGCCATGTCCATCCCTAGATGCATCATCCATGCAAGTTTGGTCAAGGTAGGGCTTATAGTTACTTGGGAATGGACCTGCTCCTAAAACTTTAACCTGGTCACTCATCTGGAAAATCTAGGTCAGATCCAGCATCCGAAGCAAGTTTGGTAGTGTCCATCCCTAGATGCATCATCCATGCAAGTTTGGTCCAGGTAGGGCTTATAGTTACTTGGGAATGGACCTGCTCCTAAAACTTTAACCTGGTCACTCATCTGGAAAATCTAGGTCAGATCCAGCATCCGAAGCAAGTTTAGTAGTGTCCATCCCTAGATGCATCATCCATGCAAGTTTGGTCAAGGTAGGGCTTATAGTTACTTGGGAATGGACCTGCTCCTAAAACTTTAACCTGGTCACTCATCTGGAAAATCTAGGTCAGATCCAGCATCCGAAGCAAGTGTGGTAGTGTCCATCCCTAGATGCATCATCCATGCAAGTTTGGTCCAGGTAGGGCTTATAGTTACTTGGGAATGGGACTTGCTCCTAAAACTTTAACCTGGGACGCCGACGCTAACGCCGACGCCGACGCCGGGGGTATAGCATAAGCTCATCTCGACTTCGTCGAGGTGAGCTAAAAATCTATCAACTTCCACTCATTCATTGCATCATGCAGATGTAAGCAACATTTTTTTGACAATGATAAAACTATTGAATATTTTGTTAAAATAATTTTAAACTGATACTTAACTCACACAAAATCTACATAAAAATGTTCAGAATATATTATTAATGATTGCTGGAAAACTCTAAATTATCAAACGTTTGTGCATTGCTCTGTTTAACACTAAAAAGAGAATACAGAAGATAAGCGACATGTATAAAGTCTGATCCATAACAGTATAACCAGTGTTCAACACAACCCCAGCACAGAGTATACACTTATTTCATGATTATGAGGGGAACAGTCAAACTGTTGTCCCGAGGTAATGGGGAAGACCTGGGAAACTGTTGCTCGAGGCCGAAAGCCAAGGGCAACAGTTTCGCAGGTCTTCCCCATTATCGAGGGACAACAGTTTGACTGTTTCCCGAGTTGTCATGAAATAAGTGTTTTATTACCTAACCTACTATATAATTTCTTAAAGTAATGATATTGACATAATAATCAATGGCTTTTAAAATACATCGACAAATGTTTGTACATGTATTATTTTTTAAAAACAAACTAAACAAGATGAACATTAATCAAATTCTCACACCGATTGGTGTTCAGAAAAATTAATGGATGTGATATTATCATGCACTAATAAATTGAAAAAAAAAAACATGTAGTAAACAACATAATGATATCTTGAAGATTTGAATATTACACGTTTATGGCAAAGAACTATACTGAGTGAAAGGGGCCTACATTTTTCCCAAATTACCCTCAGAAAAGGTGTTCATGGCCTCTTCTTCGAAATGATATTAAATTGATTATATATCAGGATTACTTTTCAGATGATAATTTCAAATTGAATGAAAATGCTTTACATTAATACATAATTCAATATTAAAGCTGTAAAGTACGGGGAATTAATTATGACGTCATAATGGAACAGTTCAGCCATGCAACAGTTCATTCTGTGACCGGGTAAACAGTTTTGACTGTTTCATGATTTGCAAAAACATTAAAAAGAATCAGGAAACAGTTCAAAATACCTAATTACAATTTATATAGTAGGTTAGGTAATAATTAATATTGTCTACATTGAAACTACAGTACAACCTCCAACACTTTCCCCATCAACTTTCCAGCATACTGTACATGTACAAAAATTGGCGTATTCAAAATTTAGCACAATCATTGGGTTTGGAGGAGTTGGCGTAATCATGAATTAGCGCTACACATGTACGTGCGTTGTATTGTATATATAAATGATTTCTTAGCGGTATTCATATATTAGCGCATCGTTGACTGAGCCAAAGCCGCTAAAATATGAAGCCCGCTTTTTTAAGTACACATACAGTATTTTGTACACAGTGATATTTCATGAAATGGCACATGATAACAGATGATAAACTGTGGTTTGATGAAGAGTCATGAAAGGAAAAATCTGTCATGTCCTCCTTGAACAATTTCATAAATCTTTGTTTCTTATAAATCTGTTTCCTTCTGATTGCTTCCCATAGTAAATATATTTACTCTTGCCAAATGATGCTGTCAAAATAGTAAAATATTTGTTAATTATCAACATTTTCAATTCGTTTGAGAGAGAGAGAAAGAGAGAGAGAGAGAGAGAGGAGGAGCTTACCAATGGGTTTGTCCAAACTCTTGGTAGAATTTGGGAGAGGTGAGAATGGTGCAGGTTCTTCGTCCTCTTCTTCCTCTTTATGTTCTATCTGTTTGTCAGAATTTAAATTTTGGTTAGCTAGTAAAGTTAAACATCTACCTGGGAAAATGCAGTTATATTTACTACATTGTGGCAATTATTTGGTAAACTGAAGCATCCAGGCTTTTAAGTCCTCTACAAACAATGTTGTACAGAGTCATTTGATGTACATGTCTATGATATAAATGACTCAGATGAATGCAGCATGATATGATAATTAATATAACTGTCACACTAACAAGTACTTTAAGAATACAATGTAATAACTGTGTCCTGGAATTTTCCAATTATTTCAAACTAGATGAAATGACCTTTATAAAATATATTAGGTACTTATAACAAGAGGCCCAAGGGCCTTAACAGTCACCTAGATAAAATACAAGCCTGTAAAGGATCAATGAAATGAAAATTTGATAATTATATATTGAAATAAACTGAACAAGAAGTCTGTGAGCCAATGCTCACTAGTAATACCCCCGCTCTGATACGAATATACGCTCTCATGAATCCCACCATATGGGATGCCTAAACAAAGAGTGTGCTAAAAGTTCAAGCATCTGCAATGAGTAGTTGCTGAGAAATGAAACAGCAACTGAAATTTGGTATGGACAGACACATGGATCAACAGGAAGTTGATATCAGATTTATACAAAAATAAATCCCAACATATGGCATGCCT